GATGGATGGATGGATGGATGGTTTTCTCTACTCACTCGTATACATATCCATCAAAGTTGTCCCAGTCAATCTTTACGACTGAATCAGGTTTTCTATCATCGAAAAGAGCTTTCAAATTCCGATGATAATCTATCCTACATCCTCTCTTGACCCACCATGTTGGACATTCCTGGTAAGTGTACGCTATGCAAGGGGGAAATAATACGGTATCAAAAATTGTACTCCTCTCAGAGTGATATACATTGTATATTGTCCCTCCAATTTACATATTTCAAAAAGTACTTATATAACTAAATTTACATTTCAGAATTGGTGTTGTTTGGTAGTTTCACTTGTTAAATTATGCATATAAAGCCTGTAGGTAATCTGGCTATTGCCTTTTTAGTAACACCAACATCAAGTTTCAGTACGTAAATATAAAGTGATAGAAAGATAGTGGAGCTTAAAAGAAGGACAAATTATTAAAAAATATTGATATTAAGTAAATTAAGTACATAAATAGCTAATAATAATTGGTAATAACCAATCTATATATAGAATAGAGATTAACGATACGAAGTCTTAACGAAAAAACTAAGAATATGAGCAAAAAAATCCTCATTTTGAATCAGAATCGATCGATCACGCGAGGTTTTCTATCGCCAACCCACGCAGCCTTCATTGACTTCATTAGGGAGTGAATTATCTCTAACGACTAATAAATGACTCATTTTCTTTTCCCTGGTTTTGTGCGCTTTGAGTAAACTTATTGAGCAAACTTTGGAACAAATACAGCTAGACATTTCTTTGTTTAGCTCTATGATGAAACGGCTCTTGATTCATTGTACTTACAAGACACTTCTGGTAGACCAAACAATTGCACTGTACTCAAGGCGAGAAGCGCGTATACAAACACTGAAAAACAAAATAATTTTAGTACATGATGATCCTTCAAGCTCTGAAGTTAATGTTAACTAATAATCGTTAATCGTGATTGTATTGAATATTGTGCCCCTAAATCCCCACGTCAGACCACGTGTCCCTCCCTTTAGTATGATTTCTTTGTGTAGCGTTTGTTTTTAAATCTTAAACAAAACGTTTGAATGTTCCGAAAACAATGGAGTTTGTGATTTTCCGAATAGAAATCATATGACAAAGTTGGTTTGAAAATTTGACGTTTAGTAAAAATACTTCACTATAAACGTTTGGAGTACTAGTTAATAATTTCTAGTATATATCTTGCCAGGGTTTGAAATGAAAAGGAATCTTATTCATAGTAAATAGAATATTTGTATACTTACTTTTGGACTTGGTCTTGAAAATAGTTGAATGTCTTCTGTCCCTATCAAGTGACAGCACAAGGTCTAACACCTTGTTTTATAACCATCCTCGCCTAGCTGGTCTCCATGGTGACTAAAGACCAAGTTTCTATGGACCAGAAGAATGTCATTAGAAGATGATATCAGATAATGGTGGATAATGAGTTGAGAAGTTGAAGAGTGCTCCTAAAAAACATCCAAAAGTTGTGTTTTTTCACCTTCTTTGTTTTTTATTTTGACTGTTTTAAATCATATCCATGGAAATGTCAAGCATAAACTTGTCTAGCTTTTATACCAGCATTTAAATGAGTACACAAGCTTAGATAAAGACTGCAGCACTCGTAGAAGTCGTAGAAGAGAATTATTCTCGTGCATTTGATATTACAGCCTGAAATAAAAAGGATCAATAGCAAATGAGTCCAATATAAAAGATTTACCAGTTAAATCTTGATAATAATAGTAATAATAGTAATAAGTAATTTAAAGATATATACATTTATAAAAAAGTAAATAAGAGTGATGTAAAAATATTAATACTTCAAATATTAATAGAGTCGTATATGTATATATAGATATGAATAAAAATATATGTGTATATATGTATATTTAAAACCATTTTAAAAATATCGAATAAGCCTGAAGCGAGATGGGCCTTTTTCACGCGGCAGCAATGTTGGTTGGAACAATAGATTCTACCACGCGCAGCCTCGCATACAAGAGTTTGAGAATGATTATACGGGTGAAACAAAGATTTTTATTCTCATGAGGATAAACATGGCTACCGAGTGATTAAGGTCCATGAAGTTTTACCCCCGTCTCTAGACCATAATCCTTTTCACGCTGCTTTTGTTCTTTAATCATGACTATTGTTTCTGTATTCTTTAAGGAATCAAAAATTTTAATATGAAAGAATTTTAAAAACTATCATGGTATAGAGTCTGGAGTAAAACGTCATCTCGCTTCAGGCTCATTGTCGATATTCAACTCTTTTTGTGCTATCGAGTAAAGAGTTCCAAAGTATAGGGTCAGCAACAGAGAAAGAGCGGAGTCCGTTGGTAGTGTGATGTGTTCACGTGAGGAACAGACAGTAGGTTGCGTGACTGATGATGATCTGAGTGAACGAACAGGCTTGTATTCTTGTATGAGATCAGAGTAGGAGCTAGTCCATGAATAGGTAGTAAGATATTGAGGTTTGGAAGTATGTTGATGCGCAAATATCCCTTTTTACTTAAGTTTTAATGAGAAATTTAGTATATAGAAAATGTATTTAAAAACTTTCTTCCCATAGCGTGATCACATGGGAAAAGTAATCGTTTTGTTTTACGGTTATCACGGTTACATGCCAATGAGCACGGGTCAATAAATCAAACTTAGAGATGACAAGGGTGATCTTATTGATCAAAACCTGTTAGAAATCCACCAGCACTACTCGCATTGGCTCGAAAATTTAAAATGACTTACTGCACGCTGGCGCAAGCGAAAGCGTACGAAACTCACGGACTTGCAGCACGCACACGGTACGATAAATTTGTTGTCACGAGAATCGCCCTTTTACGACACATGGTAACCGCTACAGATACGATAGTTTACCGTATCACTTCCCAAATCGAAACATGATTTAAGCCATAATATATTATAGCCACAATTTAGCATGTTCTAGACAGTTTACCATAGAAAACCGCTTTAAGCCCCTACTCGAAACTCTTGGCGCATGGAGTGCAATTTGTCTCACTTGCCCTAGGAGGTCGCTGAAACCATTTATTTAATAGATAATTACTGAGGCACGCAGCATTCGTAGGTATAATGCAGGCAGCTGAGGGCGTAGCCCGAAGCTGCCTGATTATACCTACGAATGCTGCGTGCCGAAGTGATTATTTAGTATAATTATTGTTCTTATCAAAATCCAATTGTTTTCTTTCTAGCTTGTTTATCATAGAAACAAAGCCAATAATGAATGAACTAAATATGTCTGATTTTCCTCTATGCATTCGTTGGGATAATGSAGACTGAAAACAATGGATTTTGATAAGATCAGTAATTATTAGATAATAAGTCTGCTCTGCTTCAATTGCTTTGCAAGTGTCAATGGATTTGGCTAGGGAACTAATTGGGGACAAAGCTGATTGGGGACTTATTTCTTTTTTCTTTCAGTTCTGTTTCGTTCCATTCCTTTCTTATAATAATAATAATTTAATCACTTATCGTACGCGCATTCCATACAATGATCACGCGCGCATTTCAATAATAATATATATAACTATATAACTATTTACAAATGAAATGAATAAATATATATTGATATATACTGAAAAAAACTATCAAAATGCTGATTTAAAAAGGTGGGTTTTAAGATGGTGCTTAAACAAACTAACATCTTTAATGGCGCGAAGGTCTGCGGGAAGTGCATTCCAGAGAACGGGTGCCGCCACAGCAAATGACCTGTCCCCCAATGCTTTCCTGGTCATGCGATTAAATGGGGCAAGTAATAAACCTTTGCTAGATCTTAAGTTTTAACTCCCCTTATCCTTAACGTTTTAAGAATAGTTTTTCTAACAGATTAATTTATAACTATTAGTATTTTTAGTCCTTTTAGTTTCTTAGCGCACCACTTGATTGTATTTTATCAATGTGAATAAACACCTATTATTATTATTTATAAATAGCGACTTACTAAAACATTTAACTAAGAAATTCAGCGATAAAAAACATTGAAAGCATTTTAATAAAAGACGACGTTTCAACGTTTACGTAGCGCCATGTATTATCAAGTCAATAGAGAGTTTTAGATTTACGTTCACAGCAAACGTGAAACGTCAGTTGACCATTTAAAAATTATTTATAAAATAATTGGTATACTACGCGCGCTAGGATTGGTCGAAAACCATGTTTGATGAGAGTATCAAAACACGCTATCGTCATTTTTAATCTATCGCGCGCGCTCATTGGTCAGTTTGAATAAGACGGCACGTAGGGAGAATTTACTTAGACTTTGCTTTTTTTCGATCTTTTCGCGCGTTTGTTATTTTATAAAACAAATCAAAAACAGTTTTCCGTGTTTGATACTGTGATCAAAACGCGCGGGATGTTGGGAGAACACGAGAGGAGCGTAGGAAACCACGACGCGTAGCGGAATTAATTTAAATAGCTTAAAAAGAATCGCAAAAAAGTCCAAGTATTAGAAAAACGAAAGGATATTTGTATTTGGTGAGAAGGTTTGTAAAAGGTAAAGTAAAGTACAGGAAAACGATGAAAACGTGGTCACGTTTGCCGTTTGCGGGGAGAAAGAAAGTCAATCTAAAACTGTCTAATAATAAGAATACTGAGAAAATACAAACTATATATAAATCATGAAACAATGAAAGCTAATTATAAAAGGAAGATATATGTACAAGAATAAAAGATGATAGTAATGATATAATTACATGAATAAAAGGGAAAGAAGAAAAAAAGGGTAAAAATGTCATATTAAACAAAACGTTTTGCATTAATGGAGTCACTTTGCACATTAAGAGATGGTTTAAGTTTCTTGATAAAAAGCATTTCAAAGACAAGGCAATTAAATTTATTGTGACATTGTCACATGTGACATCAAATTTAATTGCCTTGTTTTTAAATTAACAGATCAAAAACAGTTTCGAGAAGCTGGAAACCGCTCCGCTACGCGTCGTGGTTCCCTACGCTCCTCTCGTGTTCTCTCAACATCCCACGTGTTTTGATCAGTGTATCAAACACAGATAACTGCTCCACTATAGACGCATATAGACTCGATCTATACATCCAGAGACATCAGTAATGTTCCACTCAAAGATATATTTAACATTAGTGTTTTTAAAGCTCGTTTTCATCCGTTCACGACAATAAAAGAGTCTAAAGTCTTTTCGAATTAATACGATAAGACTAAAATAACTTTGTGGATGCCAGAAATCCGAATTTCAGTTTCATTGACTAACAAAAAAAAATTCTTCGATTGCACGTTACGTCACCACGATTTTTCGGGGGAGCGTCGCTGCCCTTCAACAAAAGATTTCTTATTAGCATTCATTGTTAACGGCACCACAACGGCCGCCATGCTTTTGTACTTTAACTCTCTTGGGAATGCTTGCAACAAATCAATTGTAAATACAAAGTAAACAAGTGTAATTGCATAGATATTTAAACAGTTTGAGTAAAAAGAAGAAGAAAAAGAGTATAATAGATGCTCTCAAAGTAATTCCCCTGCACCTCCCTCCTCACCCTAGATCCGTTCCTGAAAGAGGCGGTTAAAGCCTTCACAAGTCAATTTTGATAAATATCTGAGAATTGGCTTCAAGTTAATTAAGTCAAGGTTCCTTGACATGAAAATAGATATAGATACCAATGATTTATACTGTATTTGATGGGTTCGATAGCAAGAAAAATGACCCCTTCCTTATCTATGACTTTCTATGCACTAATTTATTAGCTATTATTCTAAAAACAGCATTATATTTCCATTAACAGAGCGGTAAAGCCTTGTGGCTTAGAGCTAAGATTTCGGCGACACATAATGGTCGTTTTGTGGTAATATCTTGGGAAACAATTATCTTAATCATCGGATATTCGGCAGGAACGAAAGTAAAATGTCAAGCTATTAAAATAAGTATTAAACTTTATATCATCATATTCACTTCCTTCTTGCCACTTGGTTTTTCTATTTCTGTTTTTCTTTTGGTTCGTCTTCTGTTCTGTTCTGTTCTCTTCTGTTCTGTTCTCTTCGGTTCTCTTCTGTTCTCTTCTGTTCTCTTCTGTTCTCTTCTGTTCTCTTCT